TGGACTTGATATTGTTGGCATATGCAAGCTTGTATCTTCTGACCGAGTACCACTCACTTATATATTTCTGTGGGTCATCATGTGCATGTATAATTGCTCTCATAGCATGTCACAAGGCAATCCACTCAGCTGCCAAGCATCACACACACAAGTCTTTTCCCTTAGGTTGATAGGAAGAACTGACTTCCTATCCAAAACCTCATACTCCCCATCACCAGATTTCAGGCATTTGGAGCTCCTAGACTCATGGCTTATTACTTGCAGCCTCTTCATTATATTAGGACATATATCATCCCTACAACCTTCACAATTCTCCCTTCTAGTAGCCATTCTCACCATATAGTCAATCTCAATTCTCACAATTCATTATAGCTTGTAAGAACTATTGATATACATTTGATTAGGTTTAAGTTAAGTGTCATACCTTCTAGTAAAGTCAAAACTGGTTTGCATCTATCAACACCTAAAGTGGCATTGAAGCTTTCAACAAAGTTAGATTTGTTGACATCACATTTGATTATTGGGTTAAAAACATGTCTTGACCAAGTTGACTGGGGTCTAACCTTTGCCAACCATATCAATGCTTCAGGATTGGCCTTTTTCATTGCTTCCATAGCCTTCTTGAATGTGAATGGGTTGTATGCCCCACAAGCCTTCCAAAACAAAAAGAACATCAGCAAGCCAGGGAATTGGGGCTTGAAATTCTTCACCAAGTGTTTACAGCAGTATCTTCTCCCCACTTTTGGCCATAATTTTGTCAATGCCACATCAATTCCTTGCTCAAGAATATACAGTTGTTAAAGTGTCATTATTTATAGGCATTATTAATCAAACATATAAAGGGAAAGGAAATGGGACATAAGCAAAAATTTACCTTTTGCCTGTCATACATTATGCACCATTCATCATCTTTACCACTTTCTTGCAATGCATTCTTAAAATGCCATACAAAGAATTTCCAACTCTCAACATCTTCAGCTCCCACAATTTCCCATGCAACAGGAAAAATCTCATTGTTTAAATCAATAGCAATGTTGAAAGTAACACTCCACCATAATTACCCTTAAGATGAGCTCCATCAACACCAATTAGACTTTTGCATCCAGCCATTAACCCATCCAAAGCAGCCCTAAATGCTATGAAAATGCTACTAAACACCAAAGGTCTCTCGGGGCATGGTTTAGTCCAAGCACAAAATGCCTTAGACTCTGTGTTTAGTTCTCTAATAACATCACAGTACATGGGCAAAGCATTGTATGAAACATCATGGCCACCATGACTTTCTTCCAAGGCCTTAGTTCTCACTCTATATATAGTGCTTGGGGCCATTTCCACTCCATATCTCTGCCACAAAAGCTCATTAAGATTCTTAGCAGGGATGTCATTATTAGCCCTGATATCATCTAGTAACACACTCTAAGCCCATTACACATTTACCATATTGTTTCTGGTTTCAACTCCTTGACATGTGTGTTCTAAGTTCTGTATGCTTTTAATTGCCCAGGTTGTACCATCTGGAAGTACAGATACATGCAATCTCCAGCTACAGTGAACATCAAAGCATCTAACACATACCTTAGGTTGCTAGCATAATCTACCACTATAGAAAACCTACACTGTATGCAATAGTCTCTTACAACATCCCTAAGATGTTGCTTGTCAGTAAACAGTTGCCACTTCTTCAACACAATTTTCCCAAACCCTTCATCTTTGTACACTTCTCCATTATTATACAGCTTAGTTAGATAGTTTTCTTCTTCATTCTCACACTCAAAATGAGGTTCCTCAAATGGGTCATATAAATCTTCAATCATAGGCCCATATTCATCCTTATCAATCTCATCTTCTGATTCCAAACTCTCTTTTTCTGTATCACCCATCTCTTCATCATAACTCTCACTGGACTGTATCCTTCATCCTCTTCATCACCATTCGCTCCAGCATCATACACAACCACAGTAGTGTCAACAGAATCATCCCCTAAACTAATCTCACCCCAACATGAACATTATTCATATCACTCTCACCTCCACCACTTGTACTAAAACTAATAACAAATCCCTTTCTTTTAGCAGTGGTCCTAGGCATTCTTCTTTGGAAAAAAGCTGACACCCTAGAAGACTTAGAGGATCATTCTGCCATGAACTAGCTCATGCGCCAAACTCTCCAATGTTCTTCAAGGGTGGTATGGTTAACTGGGTAGATGGTTGGGGTTGTGTGTCATGAGTAATGATCTCAGGTACTTGGTACTCAGTGATAGGGGAAAGACTAGTGTGAGGTTTCTCAGGTTGAATTGGTTGCCAAGGAGTGGGGAAAATGTTGAATCAATTCTCCCGTGAATTCCCTCTTCCTGTCTCCTACCTCTCCCTGTCCCTCTACCTGTCCCAGAACCTCTCTCACCTCTTCCTCTACCAGCACCACTCCCTCTCCCAATCCCTTTCCCTTTCCCAGTACCTCTCTCTCTACCAGCACCTCTCCCTCTCCCTCTTTCTCTCCCTCTTTCAGTTTCCTAAATTATGTCCTGTTCAATGTCAACAACAATATCATATATGTCATAATTTAGCACCTCAGGCTCCACAACAGATGTTTTACTTAGTTTCTGAACATGCTTGTCAAATTCAGCCTTACTAACTACTACAGCTTCACTCACATCAGGTCTTTTTTTCTTCCTAGGTGTGAGTTTTTTTCCTAACACTAGGTTGATCTAATTCAACAATGGGATTCTCTGGTTCTACAAAGGAATTCTCTAGTTCTACAATGGGATGCTTTCCCTTAACAAGTGACCTAGCATCTGCTACCTGGTGTCCTTAACACCATCCCCAACCCATAAATAGATCTTTTTTTTCTCAGGCAAGTTTGCAAACATTTTCATCAAATCACTATCACTTTCAAGAGTGACATGCTTCATCTTATACACATACTTGAATGTGGGATTTTGGGTAGTTTCAACTCCCTCTTCCTTTACTTTTTCCCAATACTCCACAATAAGGTAAATCAAATTGACCCTTAACAATATCATCAACATTAACAGATACATCATTACCCCTATATTGGAACTATAACACTACATTATCATCCATTCTGCATCAATCACATAAATAACAACATATCACAACTTAGAATTAAACCCTAAGACAGAAACTAGAAAAATCCAACAAAGACAACAACTTTAACCACAATCAACAAACAATTCAAACACCCACACCAAAAAACATACCAAGTTCAACATTTAATAAACAAAATCAGACATAAAAAAGCATCATAATCTACAACATTACATATTATCCCAATACGAAACCAAAACAGAGCATAACATAATGAAAAGCACAAATAAATACATACCTGACTTCAATCCACATTAATAGGGGTATATATCTTCAAAAGATCGAACTTTGATACCGAATCAACAATCCTCGAGCAAATTTCAACCCAAAAACCAACGGTAATTGTCGTAAACTATATTCAGAATTTTTACCAAACTTGCCTAAAATTCCCTCGAATATATGTAATTGAAATCGCAATATACCCATACCCAAGCACTACGTAGCCCCGACTTACCAAGCCCTAATTTTTTTGCACACAAATTCGCAATCTTGCTCTCAATTTCTCTTTGAAATTCGAAGGTAGAAGATGAAGAAGGTGAATGGGTTTTAAACCCTTCATCACTTTTGATTTGACAGAGTTGGTTGAAACATTAAGTGAGGGTAGTTTTGTAATTCCTTAGGTTTCAGTTTTATTTTTTATTAAATAATCGTTAACCATTAACTCTAATCCATCATTAATGTCGCCATTAGGCATAAGTAATTAATTAGAGTTTACCATTGATAATAAGTATTTTTGCAATTCACCACTGAGAAAATTAAAAAGTTTAGTGTTACCATTGAGAATTTCCCTTCATATTTTCATTGACTACATATTAATATTTTGTATTCAATAAAGACCATAAAATGTAGCAAAGCTTGGTGGTAAAACACTTAGTTTTAGAGGTAAAGGTTGCATGTTCGAATCTTGTTGATATTTTTTTTTAATTTTAATTTTATATTATAAAGATGACATGCATGCAATAAGAAACAAATAGAGGAGAGTGACACGTGGCGCATGCAATAAAAAACAAATAGATAGGAGAGTGCCATGTGGCACATAAATATCCTTCAAAACACCTTTTAATTAATATATATATATATATATATATATATATATAGATTCTTAAAAAAAATTTATAGCAATAACTCTATTTAATTTTCCTCTATAAAATGAGCCCAATATTGAGGTATTTTGAAACAACTTTTATAATAGTAAGTATTAATCTCTTGTAAAACAAATTGTGTGGAGATGAATGTTCTAAAATCTCAAATTGCATTATGTTTAATTATAAGCCTTTTATTTAAATGTATGTTAATGTATAATTATTAATTTATTTGATTATTAATAATTGCATTGTCTCTCTATGATAGGATGTAAGAGAGAGGTTGTGTGGTGGGAATGTGGGATAGGGTAAAAGAGGAGACAAAAAATGTATAACCAAAATTTGTGGTTAATCATTGGGATACATTGGTTATAAAATGGGTATAAGAGTAATTATAAATAATGTGAAAGATAGATAAAAGAATAAAATAAGTGATAGCCACAATGGTTGTGGGCAACTATTGGGTTCACTCTAAAAATATACTACCTCTATTATTTAAAGTTCTTTACACTCACTATTTGCAACATCCAATGTAATATTTAACCGTTAATGTCTCTAATTTGGTATTACAAAAAATTATAAAAAGTAGACATTTGGAAAATAGGTATCAAGACAAATCAAACAAGATCTCACGTGATTATGTTTTGAAATACGTAATGACGAGTAATAATGATCAAAGTTTTCTAATTTTGGACACATATTCCAAATTGTCAAGCTCTTTCGAGAACATAGGTAGTAACATTTACGAAGTGCAATACAGAGTACGAGTATTACTTTTCATCCAACTTTTTATTAAAAAAGTACATCTTAAAAAAAGGTGAAAAATTCAAAACGGTTTGAAATCTTTATTTAGTTTTGAACACCTAGTTATATAGCACAAACTCAAAATGTATGCGGGGCTTACATACACATAATGATGTGAATCTTTTTAAATGAAATATTCACTATCCGATTCCCTCTCCCTCATCGCCAAAAACCTTCCCTATCCGAACCCATCAAAAGACTCGATACCCAAATTCCTAATCACAGGCACCCGAACCCGAACCCGAACCCAAACCCAAACCCAAATCCCACCCAATAACCCTATTCCCTACATGAGAAAGACCATATGTTTTAGTACAATCATCCCAAACAAACAAAAGAGAACCAAAATCAAATAAAATCAAATCAAAGTACAAAATCCGAAACCCTCCATTTTCAACTCTACATTCAAAAAACACACACTCCCTTCTCTCATTCATCATTCATTCTTTCTTCTCCAAAATGTCAATCCACTCAGTGGTAATCCAGAAGCTTCTAAGCACCAACGCCCATCTCGGCCGTCGCATCACCGCCCACCATTGCAAGCCCTTCATCTATGGCAGTCGCAATGGCACCTCAATCATCGATTCCGACAAAACCCTAATTTCCCTTCGCAATGCCCTCGATTTCATCTCCCACCTTGTTCGTGGCAAAGCTCGCTTCCTCTTCGTCAACACCAATCCCCTTTTCGACGACATTTTCGATCATATGACTCGCAAGATCGGCCATGGTTCCTTTCTCTCTCCTCAAGCTCAGTACTGGCGATTAGGGGGTTTCTTGACCAACTCTTCTAGCCCTAAAAAGTTTAGGTCTAGGAATAAGAAGATTTGTTTTGCTCCAGCTCAACCTCCTGATTGTGTTGTGATTATGGATTTTGAGAGGAAGTCTTCTGTGATTAATGAGGCTGCTAAGCTTCAGATTCCGGTTATTGGGTTGGTGGATTCGAGTGTTCCGAGGGAGGTTTTCGAGAAGATTACGTACCCGATTCCGTGTAATGATTCTGTTCAGTTTGTTTATACGGTTTGTAATTTGATTACTAAGACGTTCTTGCTTGAACAGAAGAATTTGAATTTGGGTGATGCTTCGGGTACTGATGCTTCTGCTACTGATGCTTCACCGGGGTAAGATAATCGTTACCTTTTTGTCTTACTTTGAATTGAATTGAGAGTTTAAAAATTGTTTAGGGTAGTCATTGTATTTCTGTGATCAAATTTAGTATGCTGAATTCATGTAAAATTGAATTTTGCTTGCATTGTCCATGAAACTTTTGCAAATTCATTTTGGAAAGATATGGGGAATGTGGCCAGAAAGAAAAACTTGTGGGATTCGAGGAATTGCTGTTGTGGTTGTCTTTCTCTAACTGATTAATTATCGCGGAATGATCAAATTTGGTTCTTTTTCTTGGGGGGTGGGGGACTTGGGGAAGAGGGCCTTGTATTTGAGTTGGTTTTCTGATTATGGAGAGTTTGGGAAGAATTTTTTTTGTTAATCGGCGTAATGAAAGTTGGTTTTGGGGACTTACTTTGTGGACTTGACGAAAGAAACTTGACTTAGTTCATGGTTGTGTTTTAGTTCCTTGGATATGTTTTGAGTGGAATTTTAATTTCAAACTTATATTCCATTATTGGGCCCAATTCAATGAACAAACAATGTGAGAGGAGGGTAGAAGCTAGATAGCCTAGGGGTAGGGGATGGAGGCATGGAGAGAGGTTTAGAAGGAAAAAAAACATGCAATGCTGAGTATGACAATCCATTCTTGACCAAAGGTTACTAATTTACTCACTTTGGTAGAATTATTTATAATTGAAGAAAATTATTCTCTATTTGACAAACCAAATGTAAGTAATTTGTTGTATAATTTTCTTAGAAAAATATTTCCTCAATTAAACAGGCAAAAATAACCTGTATCTTGAATTGATTTCTTCCATGTATTGAAATGTTATACTATTATCATAGGTTGATGAATGCTATTACCTATTTGGGATGTTGCTACATCATAGTAGTTTTGCACTTTAGAATAATAATATTTTGATGTTGGATCTTAAAAGGTTGAAGTATGTGTTTTTATAATGATATATAGCTGTAGTATGTAAATGTTAGAGCAATGCTTGCTGTTTCGGGAAAGAAAATGCTAAGAGTCTCTGTTATTCTCATATTCCACTATCCAAATGTAGTTGTGAAATAATATGGAATTGGAGTTAATGACTCCAGCTATTTAAATGGCTTGTAGCAGCTACTGTCTGTTTTGTGGAGGGGGATACTATAAGAAATGGAGACATGGAGAACAAATTTTCTAGGATAGGGTTGCAATAGTACAGATTAATGATTTGAGCAAGATATTAGAATTAAACAGATCAAAAGTGACGAATATATTACCCTTAGATATAGTTGTAGAGAAAATTTAATTTAGTACTGCATCTATTTACACCATGAGACTGGTGAAAGGTTATTATAAGACAAAGCTGGCCAGAGGGTCGGGGAAATTTGTATACTAAGTTTGTAGAGGAGTGGTTTTCCCCTAGATTTCTTAAGAATTTCTTGATCAAATTGTCTAAAATTTGGGAAATTTTGTTGTTCGTGGGCATTGGGCAATGTAGGTATGGTTGTATCCTTTTTTTTTCCCGTATACAACTTCTGTTGCCACACATGATCTGATTGAATTTGAAGCATATTAAATATGAATTGAACTCACGGAGGTAGATTGGCTCGGAGCAAACAAACTGAAAAGCTAAATATTTATTGATGATTGAAGAGTCATGTAGCACGATAGTTTTGTACAAAATATATATTTGATATATGATCATGTGAAGATAGTTTGGAGAGGATTGAAAGAATCAGATTGTGTTCCGCATATCTGAGTTTCGTGCAGCATATCTGAGTTTCATGGACAAAGTATGGGATGGTACTATGCTAATATGCTATAGTGCTATGCTTTAGATTTCTATTTCTGTCTTTTTATATTAGATGGGAATTTAGATTGAGTTTCCTTGTGCTAAAAGTCCCAAATGGTATGGATATGGACTTTTGCTGTATCAACAATTTGTGGGAAGATTGGGAACCACTTCTCTGTTATTGTACAACCCTGTATGCATCCAGCCCCCTTTACCATGTAGATAGAAGCCTTGGCCTTTTTATAGGTATTTGGATTACGGGACTGCATTGGAGTATTTAGTGTTTCCCATAATGATATATTGGCATAATGCAGAACACAATTCAATGTTTGGAAGTCCTTGATAGATTCAAAGGTCGTTTATAATCTTTATATAGCTGTAGTGTAGAAGTTTGAACTTAGTTTCAATTTTACTACCACAAAAGAATCAGTATAAATCAAGGAGGGAAGAGACTATAACTAAGTATCAGTTTTCTCAAGTTGAGGTTTAAGCTTTTAGGAATGTCTGAGTGCAAATAGTTTGGTGAATGGGGAAATGCAACCTTCAAGTTATTCCGTTATTAGGCAATTCAGAGTTTGTATGTTTTTTTTTTAAAATTTGTTTTTGCGCCATTTATTTACTCTCATTGCCAGATAGGTTTTCTGTTTATTTCTGAAGCGCGATGGGGTTGATTATAATTCCAGGAAAATATAGCATAGGTTGGTAGCAAGCAAACTAAAGGACGAACTATAAATTTAAATGATACATTGGGAATTCCGTTAAGATAGTCTGGAGAGAGCAGGAAGAATGAGAATATGTGCCTAACTTCTGAGTTTAGGAGTTTGGAGAATAATTTTTCAAGAAACGGAACTAAGCAGCTCGATAGACTTCCATCATGTGCACTTGGAAAGGCATAAGTACTCTACATATTGAGTTATATAAGGCTTTTGTGAATATTTTGATTTTTTTTAATATGATTTCACAATCTTATTTACAAATCACATATGGTAAACTGCAGCCAATAGTCTGTTATTTTTTATTTTGCTAATATCAAGCCGTAATTATGTGTATTTGCAATGTTTTTTTGGGGATTGTTTTTCTTCATACATGGAGGAATCCATTGGATGATTTATTTTGTTCTCATTGTGTACCATCATTATTGTGAAGTGAGGAAGCTACGGTGACAGAAGATGATCAATCTCCGCAAGAGTTGAAGCTTGCTGATGCTTGATGATGTTACATTTGGTATTGATCTTATCTATTGATTTTTTTATTTAAATTTTTTATTCAACTTTTTTCGGAAGCAGAGGATCTAAAGACTGCTTTGTAGTGTAATTTGCATCTGCTCTGCTTCTTTATGAATTGGTTCAAGAGCAGCTCTGTTGAATTCTGCTAATGTAATGTTGCTGGTTTCTACAGAGGCTTTTGGGTGGATAATTTTTTTTGGATGGGAAGGTTAGGAAGAACAGTTTCAGTTTATCGCGTAGTTGCTGCCATGTGACATTCTGGTAGAATGTTAGGACATTTGCTCGAGACCGAGACTATAGCTGAGGTGTTTCTCATGCTAATTTTTCGTATTTATAAGTGTTAGAATACAAATTTTGTATAAATTCTTTCTTGTATGTTCCATTATAACATGTTGAAATCCATTATTGCAGAAGTCAAATTTGATTTAACAGACTTCCCTCAGCCCCGTGCTGTTTTCTGTAACCTTGTATAATCATTTGAGTTAGAGAGTGCAGGTTTCTAGATTTTTTTTTTTTTTTTTTTTTTTTTTTACGGGAGGTTTCTAGGTTGATGTTGCAATAAAAGTAAAATTTGATTTTCTAATGTTTTTTATAACGTAATAGATTTCCTAGATGTAGACAAAAGGTGAACATGGAAATGTCAAAGTACAACTACACTTATGTGTTTGATAGAGTATTTTGTAAGAAAAGCTTACTAAATCAATCACGAGGGTGTGAAAAACATAAAATTGTTTTCAATTTTTAGTTAGTTCAGCAAGTTATTTAATGCATATTGTGCTCTGTAAAATACAAAGTATGAAAATTTTCAACACATTAAATCAAGCATAAGCTCCCATGCAACCTTAATAATACTCTCTTTGTTTTTAAATACTTGCTCTATTTTCACTTTTTGCACTGTTCATCTGTCCTACTTTGACTAATGTTTGTGATTTATACATAAGAAAAAATATAGTTTTGTAGGTACTTTGTTGGAATTGTCTCAATGAATAGAATATTAATTTTCAATTATTAATTAATAATTAAAGCTATTATTGATCAAAAATTAGCATCGGTATACGTATTTACATATGCAAGTTTCCGTAATGAATTAATAATCCCTTTGGAAGCTTCATAAAGTAATCTGGCTCCCACCAGTAATATCATCTTAATCACAACAAAATCAGCAAACTCCTTGTGCAGCTTTTTGATCATTGAAACATATAATTAAGCAATGTCTTCTAGTCTTCTACAGGCAGTCTTCCCATATTCTAGAATAAAGGAGGTTAGTGAGTTATCGAGCAGCCAAAGAACATACACAACTGCTAATCTGCTACGAGTGGCAACAGAAATATAAGTCTACAAGGAAAAATAAAACTGATGTGCTTTTCAGATTGTATTGTTTCTTAAAACTTAAATCACTTTTAAAAATCATAGACCAGTCCATCGCTTCTCTATGCAAAAGATCAAAGATACAAAGTGTACTTTCGGTAACAATGACATCTATCATTAGATAGAACAATCTAGACTAGCATCTCTTGCAGAAGTTTTAATCAAAATTCTCCTCAGAGAGATTACAATGAATTACGCAATTCCAAATCAAGTAATTTGACTAAGGAATTTTTAATTTTTTTGCTTAAACAAGAAGAATAAGTTAATAATAGCTTCTAAATTGTCACACCCTATATGTAAAAGTAATCATGCATGCTTATTCAAAATCTCCCAATAATTTCAGGATTACCAGCATCCTCAACACAACCATGCAGTCTTTTCATGAACAAGTAGATTGAGTGAGACCTCAATTGATGTTAAGTGAAGACAAAGTACAATGGTGCTTATTCTGTCTATCTTCCCCACTGCCATCCCATACACCACCAGATCACCGTGGGAGACTTCCAAGGCTTATGCTGTGTCAGAAGCATCCACATCAACCTCTTGTCCGAGTATGCCTTCACATGTAACTCCATTAGTGACCCTACCATCAGAAGACACACCAAGAATAATGTTGTGTTTATATACTAGAAAAACACATAAAAGGTCAGGTTTAATTCTTCCAAAAGCCAACAATCGTCAGCAGTGAAGCTTGGGACCTAAGCAACATATGGCCTAGATGTGATTGAAGGGTGATAAATCTCAAATAGACTTTCATGAAATCATGAGTGGCTTTAATCAGAGCACCACTATTTTTCAATACATCATGAATCATAATTAAAGCTTATTTTTAACACCCAAGTGCCTCTCTCCTTCGGGTATTCAGACTTTAAAAGTTGGGGCATTCAGAACTGAGACAAAAAGGCAAGGCAGGTGGGTGCTAGGAACTGAATTTTAGCTACTGGAAAATCAGAATATTAAGGATTATAAAACTGGATATTTGTATTGAAAAGCTATTAACCGATCAATACAATGGTGGATTCCTTCAATTCGAGAAGAAGGATGATCTCCCAAAATAAGCCTAAGCTTAACAACACAATTCTCTGGATATCCTACTCTATACCCATGCACCTATACTATATTTATATTATTTAGAGCTTCTACAAGCTTCCATTCTACACTCTTCCCCCTAACAAACTTAGATTCCCTTAATAACAGAATTATTGAATTATGAACTAATTAACTAAATAGAAATTATTTAAATGTAATTAATAAAGCAACCATCTAATTATTAGAGTAGCAATTGTCGTGGCCTTGCGTGCATATGATGCCACCACCGAGGACCTGATCTCTTGCAGTGGGTTCAGTCCAGCAGGACTACAGTCTTTGGGAATCATAAACCAAATCCTTTTCACTGGTCACTGCCCCAAAATGTGGTGAGTTATGCATATTCCCTCGATATTTACCATGCTCAATGATTCTAACTTGGAAAATATGAACAAAAGATGGGGGTTATGGATTCCCTCAACATTAAGCATTCATGTAATTCATGTTCCTACAAGATTCTTAACAAAGATAATATGAGAAGATAAGCAGATGCCTTAACTAAAGATGTATTATCCATTGATCCACTGTGCTTTCAAGATTTTGCCCAAAACAAAAGTTTCTCAAGATTTTGAATTGAGCCTTGATTTGACAAACCACCTGTTTTGACTCCCAACAATGAGTCTATGAAATGAAGAACCAGTCAAAAGAAGAATGGCAGGGTTGTGTTTTTATGAGCTACAAGATGATCAATCTTGTTAAAAATGGTAACAGAAGTTTCCAGAAGCGAAGGCTTGTCAGGGAATTGATCAAAGGAGTCATTAAAATATTTCTTCAGGTACTTCAGACAAGCTCAATGAGTTTTTGTAAATGACAGGCGAAAGTGTGCTTCTGTGGGCCCATGGCTCTGAAGGATTGCTTTCACAGAACAGGATCAATTGAATAAAATTACTGATGATGTTTCACCTATAGACACACAAACCTTGAGTATCAACCCCATTCCATCAAAACAATCCTAAATTCTACGAAATGATAATTAAGAACAGAACAAAGAAGTAACATATTTATTACAAGAGCAGCTACATGATGCGTGTACACAGAAAACAAGCAGGCCTAATATGTAAGAGCAATTCCATGACTTGGGGGAGGGGGGGGGGGAGAATGCAAAAACATGACACATTGGATTGAAGTCTCTAGCATGATTCAATTAAATAAAAAGTAGTTGCAGCAAATTAGGATGACCTGGACATAATTATGGATGCAGCATTGCAGGCTCCATTGCCTGAGGGATAGTTAAAATCAATATCTAAGCAGTTCTGTATGAAATTTGTAGTGTTTATCGTCCACACTTTGCTTCCGTCGACAAAAATAACAGAAGTGGGATATTCAGTGAGCTCAGATGAAATGCTTACCAACAAGATTTGCGATAAATGCACTTCACATGAGAAGATCCCTCTCAAAGACAATAAGAGACTTGTAGCATCTTTCTCTGAGATTGTACAGATGTAACTCCAGCAATAGGATTGGCTGCTCAACTGGAAAAAATTTCTCTATGCTGGCCAACCAGCAGTACTATGTCTACCTACATAAATACCATAAATTAGTTGTAAACTTAATCACTTGGGGAAATACTAACTAAACCTTGTCAGTTTCAGAAAACAATCATTAATGATATAAAGATGCCATTAAAATTAGGAGAAAATTTTTATATATTATTTATTTGTTTGTTTGTTTGCTTTAATCTGCAATAGTTTCTTCCCAAGTACATGGAATATACATATAAGATAGTGAAAAATGAAAAACACTCTTATGACATATAAATTGTCTTGTACAAAAAGCTTAACTTACAGAGAAGATAATGAAGTTGTTGAATTTCAGTAAATGCGCCTCATTTACTCAAGTCTCCACCAGGGAGGAAGATAGCCTTTTAAGGAAAAAAGGAAACCCTCACCCAACTAGCACACATACTCAAAATATTTTGAGCCAAAATGAGAGGGAGGGCTTTCTCAGAGAGCTCCTTGAGTGAGGGAGTATCATGATGCAGTTTCATCTGTTCTCTCTTCAACAATGTAGCCAATTTAGGCATCAACTTAGATAAGAAGCCAACAATGTGAGAAGGATAACCTAAAAACAATGGATTTAAGCTACTCCTCGCTGCTTGGACTAATTGTAACGTGACCTCTTCCATAGTACTGTTCCTTCAATCTCAGAGCAGCAGCTTTCTTACCTGATCTCGCTAAAGTGCGACAGATAGAAGAGATGGTGCTTGTACCTGGAACCAACCCTTTATCAGTCATTTCATTCCACAATTTCATGGCTTCGGCTTGATATGATCGTTTCAACCTCTTCTCAAGCTCTGCTTGATTGGATAAATTGCACCACCCACTTATGAGTATGTCATATGTTGATGCATTAGGTGATCTGCCTCTAACTTGCATTTCATTCATAAGTTCTCTAGCCTGGCTCATCTTTCCCAACAGCGAAAACTGGTGGATAAGTGTATTGTATGCAGTAGTCGTGGGGATGAAACCTTTGCACACCATTTCGCAGTAAAGTCTGATAGACTCCTTTGTATTGCTCATCTTTGCATAACCCGAGACCAAAATATTGTACATCACAGCATTAAACACAAATCCTCTTTCTTTCATTTCATCAATCAATCTCACTACCTCTCTCATTAAACCCGCAGAGAATACACCATCAAGCAGAGTATTGTAAGTGACCATATTAGGGGTCAGCCCCTCACTTAGCAATAGGGAATATGTTGCAAAGGCCTTTTTTATATGACTACTTCTGCAATATCCAAGTATAAAGTTGTTATAAGTGACAACATCAGCTGGTATTCCTCTGCTTTTCATGTTTTTTTAAAACAGCAGAAGCCTTGTTTGTCATTCCCAGCTTGCACAAGACATTGATGAGGGTGTTGTAGCTTAGATAATTTGCCTCAAGGCCCATGTCTAGAAGCTGCTCATGAATCTGCATGATTACACTTGCCCTTCTGGTCTTTGAAGCTGCAGCAAGGACAGCTCTATGCACACTAGGCGTCGGGATGAAACCAATAGTTGACATTTGAAACAGAATTTCCATTGCTTTATCCAGCTTATCAAAATTACACAATCCTGTAACAAGGATATTACAGGTAATTTTATTGGGCATTAGCCCATGAACCTTCATATCAGACCACAATTTAAG